CTTTAAAGAGTCAAGCCACGTCAAGTGGGACCAGAAAATTTCACGAAATCACCAATTTTAAAAATAATCACATTATTGTGTAGTAGGCATGACGCATATGTCACAGTAAAAAAATTGTTTCGAAATTCGCTTTTTTAGTAATGTTATTAAAGTTAATAATTTTGTCAAACTTTAGAGCATGGTAAAATTTAAAAAATTGAATCTCTGGGACCACTCTGTATAATTGAATTAAATTTTACACACTATTGTAGCAATGTTTAGACTATTGAATGATCATTTAATTAAGATAAATTTGTTTAAATAAAAGATTTTTGCACACATTTATTATAAACAATTTAAATTTTTTATGTGTTCTTCACGCTGAAAAAAAAAATAATCTTGTGTCATAATATGCGAAAAACGTTCCCGTTTAATAAAATGTACTCAAAAATTTGTCCTTCATAGGTAATTCCGGAGATATTAATTTTTTTCTCCCGCTGTGCGCTTGAGCAGTACGCAGCGCGCTTCGCTGCTAGCCCGTTAGCACAGCTTTCCGTTAGAACGTTAGAACCGACGAGCTAGCAGCGAAGCGCGCCACGTACTGATCGAACGCACAGCGGGACAAAAAATTTAATATCTCCGGAATAAAATATAAAGTACAAAGTTTTGAGTCCATTTTATTAAACGGGAATGTTTGCCGCATATTATGAAACAAGATTAATTTTTTTCCAGCGTGAAGAACACAAAAAAAAATTCAATTGTTTATAAATAATAAATGTATGCAAAATTCTTGTATTTAAACAAATTTACCTTAATTAAATGACAATTCTATAGTCTAAACATTGCTACAATAGTGTGTAAAATTTAATTCAATTATTCAGAGTGGTCCAAGAGATTCTATTTTTTTTAATTTTACCGTGTTTGACAAAATTATTAACTTAAATAACAATAACAAAAAACTGAATTTCAAAACAATTTTTTTAATGTGACGTATGGGTCATGCCTACTACACAATTATGTGATTATTTTCAAAATCGGTGATTTCGTAAAATTTTCTGGTCCCACTTGACGTGGCTTGACTCTAAAACAGAATGAGGCGTCAGCTGTGAAATGAAAATACCCACCCCCCAGTATTAAGGGTAGTTTAAACTTAAATTTAAGTCGAATGATTAATGCTCTAATTAGAAACATTTTGCAATAATATGTTTTAAATCTGCAAACAATTGTCACAGTTCAGAGGCTGACCTTATAGATAAGTTTTTGATTTAATTTTTTTGACACAAATAACTATAAATGTAAATAAATAAAATATACCTACTTAAGTTGTAAATAATTGTATGTCTCCAATCGAAGGTTAAACAGATTACTTACAGGTATGTGTGGCTATTTATATGCCTGTATGAATATTTATTATAAATTACAACAATTATAAATCTGTCTAATGTGTGAAAACCTAATCTAATTAAATCTATCCATTAGAATATCGTATGTTAATTTTGTAACGTATGTTCACTAAACAAGAACACATGGCCTCAAAATTAAATAAAAGGAGTAAAAGAAAAAATATCAAAATTAGGAAAAAATACAAAAAATACGGTGAATCATGGATAATTAGAATTAATATTACCTAACTAATAATTTGATATGTATAATTATCATTATTTAATTAATTACATTAACATTAATTATAAGTTTTTGCATAAACTATAGAATGTGTTAATGTTATTATTAACTTAATAATGCAGTCAATTGCAAATGTCATACAATCTTCTCATTCAATTTCTTATCGCCCCGTATAAAACGGATTAATATCTAAATAAAAATATGTGGGACGCGCAGGAAGTTGTTTTTATTAAATAAAAAATTAATTGAAATTTTTAAGTATTCCCCGCTTTGTTATAAACATGATTAATATATTTTTCATGGCTTTTCTTTGTAATAATAAATAAAACAGTTTTTATTAATTGTATTAAACAACTTTTGACAAATCTGATTTCGACTACCACAAGACTCTTTGTGCACAAAGTATCCTTCTTTACATGATTGCCATTTTAATAGATTTAATTACGCAATCTTTCTCTAAATTAAACGACCTTGTAGCCCTTTAAATGAAAAAGATACCCATGTAAAAAAGGATTCTTGGTGCACCCGGTATATACTTAAATTCACAAAGAGTATTGTTGTAGTCGAAATCAGATTTGTCAAAAGTTTTATAAGACAACAAGGTAACCTATTATTTGTAAGTTTAAAAAGTCAATATTTTAAATTTTAAATATTTGTACAAAAAACAGAAAATAAATGGGATAAAGTCTTAAATAAAAATTTTGAAAACTAATAAAAAATAAATAACAAAAAAATATAGTTCCAAATAAATACTTAAGCATAAAAAACGAACAAAATTATGAAAGCTCCATCAAATAAAATAAATTCAAGCATTGAGTATGAGTATAAGAGACGTATAACCAGCCCCATTGCCTCATCACTCCCGGACCCCGTACAGGCCTATGTTTACTTACGCCGATTTTTGTTCGCCCCCAGCAACTGCACGGCTTCACCCGTGTCCATTGCGTTCCGTACTGTCCCCTATTTGGGGCTCGACAGCGACATGCAAATAGTTTTAATAGCCATTCTCGAGTTCGCCGAGCCGATGCTATACCCCCAGAAGGGTATAGAGGAGGAGGGACGGGAGGGATAGACATTTGTTGGTTTTTGGGGGACAATTGCGCCAAATTAAAACTAAGTACGACGCGGAATCCCCCTAGACCAGTCGATTAGTACGAGCCCTAACCACATAATGTTCGGACACTTCATAATTTATACAGAAATTTTTTTCGTGAATACTATCTCAAAATTATTAGAAGTTATGAAAAATTCAGCTTATTTTGGCATATACCCCTCGAAGCGATTTTTATTTTTTAAAAGTTTACCTTTTATTTTTAGCTTTTAAAAAAAGGCTAACTTTTTAACTTTTTTTTGTATGAGTAAAAAAAGTTATAAATGGACCCATTAAAAAGAGCATAAAATATTATACAAACCCTGAAAATTTGGTAAAAAATAAATAAGTTATAAAAAAGTATAAGTAATTTAAAAATGCTATTTTTAAAGAGTTTTTGCAATTTTCTTAGGAAACGGGAGATTTTGCAGATATATATATCGCTATAACTTTCTTATTATTTATACAATTTTTACCAAATTTTCAGGGTTTGTATAATATTTTATGTTCTTTTTAATGGGCCCATTTATAACTTTTTTTACTCATGCAAAAAAAAGTTAAAAAGTTAGCCTTTTTTTAAAAGCTAAAAATAAAAGGTAAACTTTTTAAAAATAAAAATCGCTTCGTGGGGTATATGCCAAAATAAGCTGAATTTTTCATAACTTCTAATAATTTTGAGATAGTATTCACGAAAAAAATTTCTGTATAAATTATGAAGTGTCCGAACATATGTGGTTAGGGCTCGTATTACTCCAAACATTTGGGATTACTATTTGGAGTTGGGGAGTTGTTATTTTGCTGCAAGGGTGTAGTTTCCTAGTCGAGGTCTTCGTCTTGTTCGTTATTGTCATTGCCCGTGTCCTCAGTCTTGATGCCGAAAACCATCAATAGATAGTTCAGTAGCTGGATATGTAACTTGTAGCTTTTGGTGTGTTTTTATTGCCGCAGTAGTGCAAAATTTATAACAATTTTTTTATTAGTTATTGTGTTGCCGAAGCACGTTTTGTGGTAGAGTTTTGTTTTTTTTTTCTTAAATTCCAAAATTAAGTATTGCATTTATTTATTATTTATTATTCCGTTATCTATAGAGATTATATTATAATGTTTACAAATCCAGTAGAGTTTGGTTATTATGCTTTTTTTACTATGTTAGGGTTATAATGAATAATGTGTTAGTTTATTCTGTGTGTCTAGTGTTTATTATTGGTCTCGTTTGGGTTTGCCTTACGCATTTGTTGTTGACAGATTTATTGTCCTACGCAGTGTGCCATTCTTAGGGTTTTAAAGATATCTGTCGTGTTTAATTTGCAGATTATGTGTTAGGTCATGCATATGCTTAAGGTTACTTATCATTTTTTTGCGGATGGCCACCTCCCCTCTTGTTTGACCTCCTTTGTTTGTCCAGTGAAAAGCGTCCAATGACAGGTGGCACTTAACTCATTCATCACTTAACACTTCACTCCTCATTGACCGTTGCACCATTTTAGTTTGCACACTATGAAAATTGTTTGTTTCAGTATAAACATTTTAAAAATTATTTTTGGTTTTAATCTTTAAACTTTTGCGTTTTAAGAGCTCTCGCTCTCGCGTGGTGCCTTCTCAAGTGCTGGAACCTGACGTATAAAATAAATTCAAGCATTTCATAAAAAAAAATTATTTCATAAAAAAGTTCCAAAATTAATCTAAATTTAAAAATATGACTCGTACAAATTTATATCAACCATAGGGTTGACATACAAATTATAATATGTCATGTAGTGCGGTTTGAATAGAATTTGTTACGGGTCAAGGGTGGGCTTGTAATTGTTAAAATACTAAATAATAAAGTTCTGATAAAATTTCTAGATAGGGTTTTACATTTTAAGAAGGCGACTATAATAATAACATTTAAAATTGGTAAAAAGTGAGGTTAACAATTTGAGAGATGTCAGATTATATTTATTTAATTTAAATTAATAAATTATCTACTTATTGGAGTAGATAAAATAATACTATATATGGTATTACACTCGAGAATATGCCAATTATTCACTTGAATGATTTGAGTCTCTCGTCTGGCGATTTGAGACGCAATATTATAATATTCTATTTTCAAAAAAAAAAAATATAATGAAACTAGTAAAATTTTAAAGGAAATACAATTACTTAACTTAATTATTTTGCGTAAGAAATTCATTAATGGAAATAATGATTTCCTTATTTGCTGGGCAATTGTAGGAAGTTCTTTATTAAAAACAGTAAAAAATGCACTCTGTTGTAGTTTAACCTATTTTCAATAGTTACGTAAGTATATTTTTTTATTTTTTAGGGGATTTTGGCAGATACCAAGGGTTCCAGTTTTTCCTGCACATATTATCAGCAGTTACTGCTGGTTTGAATATGTTATCACTGGCAACAGTAGCTGCAATTCCTGACCACAGGTAATTCCAATACAATGTATATTATATTATATTTATTTTTACAATTAACACGCCTCCAAGCCAATTCTTCTGTAGAAAATTAAACCGCAAGATCAATTAAATGTTTTTGTTATAACGATTTATAACGATTTTAAACCAGTTTTTTTACACAAACCACTTTATTTTTTGCTTATTAACACCGAGGTGCGTTTACTTTTAACTTAGTGTAAAGATAATTTTACGGTCAAACAATTATTTATGTCAACATATCGCATTGAATTGTAGGTTTATTCTCCTACGATTGTAATAACATTGTAATATCGTTGAGGTAATACATTGTCTCCTAGGTAAGTAATGTCATAAAATGCATATGAATATTTATACCGTACTTTCATTTTTCATGTAGGTAAACAATTAAATCATTTGGTTTTTAAAAGTGGTAGCACTTCTCTGTGAGTGGAGAATATGATATTCTAAAAATCTTTCCGATATTCCGAATATCGCCAACAATAATAAAAATAATTTAAAAAAATTTATATAAATAAAGTAAATATAGCTATAGCTCATATACATATGTATATGGTACAATTTCATACAATGGACTTCCATTTTTAATGTACCTATTTTTACCTATTTTAATGTACCTATAGGTAGTTACTATAGTAACTAGGCTGGTGGATTTTGGGTATACCAATATCTCAGTTATTAGACATGGGTCCCACACCATTTTAAATATTTTTTTATTTTAATAAAATAAATAATAAACATTTAAAATCGAATAAAATCTGTAATATTTGGATTTTTTAAATAAAATTTTAAATTTGTCGATAAATTATAGTAGATAATAAATTGCACCACTTTAATTTGAATTATCTCAAATAGGGGGGCCTGGAGGCGGGTGAGGCAACAGGAAAAACTAACTTTTTTTTCGCAAACTTCAATTTAAATTCTGTTTGCGCCGAACTTGTTTATTTAATGTCATTATAAACTATAGTTAATATATTATAAACTATAGTTAATATATTATAAATTTGGTGTGGGTCCCATGTCTAATAACTGAGATATTGGTATACATAAAATCCACCAGCCGCCACTAGGTCCTAGTTAGGGTTTTAAAGTGTCGAAAAAAAAACCGGGAAAAACGGGTTTTTCCCAGGCCTTTAAAATTTTTTTTGGAAAATATACAAATTTATATATTTATATGAAAAAAATTAGCAATCAACACACTTAACATTATTTTAATTTAAAAAGAAAATCCCTACAGAAAAAAAATAAAACTAAACATTGAATTAAATTAAATTGATAAAATGTCGGTGGGATCTTTTCCCAAAAAGGAGTCCATTGAAAGTATCCAATTACAAAATAAATGATTTATAAAGTTAAATTACAAATAATAATTTTATAAATAATTTCAATTATTGAAGTGTCAAATAAAACGAAAGTTACTTATGTTAATACAGCACCGAATATGTTTTTTTTGCAACCTGGTAGAATATTCTTACTGAATTACTGAAAAGGAATAGGTAATTATTATAATCATAACATTATGATTATAATATATTCAGCGTCGGAAATTCAGAAAAATAGACTTGCATTTTTTCGTATTACCCCTTGAATAAAATGTAAAAAATGCAAGTCAATTTTTCTAAAAATTTCCGAAAAAAACAGGTTTTTTCCTCCGGCTCAATTTTTTCGGATATTTTAAAACCCTATATAACTAGTTACTATCTTAGGTACAAACGTCCATGGCTCTTTAACGGATGTCCATTTGATGTACCTATAGGTCATCCGTTAAAGAGCCATGGACGTTTGTACCTAAGATGGACCAATAACGGACGTCCAGTGGATGTTTTGTGCTGTTTTGGTTGACGTCAGTGATTGGTCGAATTTCTGTATTCACTTTGATTTGCACCAATCTGGTATTAAATTGGGAGAAACTTTGTTGCCCATAGTATACTATCATAAGTTCGACATCTGTCAGATGGTTCTAACCTTGAGAACCGTCGAATGTTATGATATTAAACGAAGTGAGGTTAGAACCGTCTGACAGATGTAATAATATATTTTGTTATTTTTGTAAATTATTTAATTGGAGTAGGAAAAATATAGTATGACATTTGAGATTATGCCCATTATTCACTTGGATGATTTGCGTCTCTCGCTTGGTGGGCACGACTAATTGCCTGTTAATATTATTACTACACTACTATATTTTGCGTTTTTATAGATAAATAATGAGTTTTGTCCTGTTTTATTTTTTCTTTAATTTTTTTATGGATTTATTACCTGTTTTTTAAATCTTATTTTATTTTTCAAATTTACGGTATTTTTTCTCAAATACGACAATTTTAAGTGGGCAGATACAGTAATTCTATTTCCACCGTGTGGCAACACTGATCTAGTGTACCTAATACATTTGTGTTAGGATACTGGCAACCGTCCTGTTATCCAAATTTGGGGTGATGTTTAGAGAGCAGAAATAATTTTATTTCTAAGAAGACTAATCAGTTCAAATTGCCTCAAATTACAAAGGGACCAATAATATTATTTCCATAAATATCAGACCTTACATTCAACTTTTTAGGATACTAAGTTTTTAGGTTTAATTGTTTTTCATGTAACGGAAATGTGAATTTGTCGGTAAACACAATATTTTCAACCAATGTAACATTGCAAAAACTTTCCATATGTATCTTACGGTAAAGTTGCAAATTTTAGGTTGAGGGAAATTATCATGTGCAACATTTTAAATGTAAAATTTTATTTATGTTAATGCAAGTAGCAAATAAAAACATTTTATTAGGAAACTCTGCAACGACTAGGTTACATATGTGAAATTTATAAATGAATACATTCCACAAACAACCATTTGTCTTAAACCTTTGATATGGAATAACAACAATTAATTTTAGTATTCACCTAAAGACGACTGGAGATACCAGTCGAAACGGAGTTCCCGACCAAAAGTTACAAAATACTCGATATTACCCGCAAAAGTAAAAAAAATAGTTATCTTTATACATAGCGCATTCGCTCTATTTAGAATTAGTTAAGAATAATGGTAACAACGAGGTAGGATATAATAAAATAATTATGTATGTATATTTACTGAACATTTTTTAGTTAGTATTTTGATCGAAATTTGCAAAATACCCGCTTTTACCCGCTTTAATATTTTACCTCCAAGCATGACGAAAATACCAGATTTTAAGGGAAAAGACTCGTAAACGGCAACACTGCGTTATAATTAAAAATACTACGGCAATGGACTTCCATTGCCGGGGTCTTTTTAATCGAACTCCAAAACCTTTACTTCATTCAGGAATTTATCCTTCGAGCGAGCCGATCGCTATAAAATATCCTCTAGATGCAGTCGGCAAATAAGTTGCAACATGTCACCTGCGCCACGAAACAAATGCCCAAGGATTGCGCCAAATTTTATGAGTTTTTTATTCAAAAACAGTAGCACTAATGAAAAAATGATGGAGAAAAAACTTGCTTATTTTGTCGTTAACTATCAAGGAAGGACAACTTATTTAATGACACCCTGTATTTAAGCTGTTCTTGCAATTTTACGGTTATCTTCGTAAATCGACATTTTTTGCTAGTACACTTTTAATCAAAACCTATTCTGGTCATTCATTTCCTGTAAATTAATACAAAAAATGCACTTGAAAAAACCACAAGTTGCGTAACCATTATTGATTATTTAATTATGTTTATTTTTTATTTAATTTCAATATAATTATTTAAATATATAATTTATATGGGCATTATACAATTGCAAATGTCACCAGTAAAAGTTTTACAATTTTCATTAAATCTGGGCCAATTTTAAAAAGTCATATTTTTTTTATTTTATTACCTATTTTAGTTCCAACAGGCACCAGGCCTAATTCCAAGAGTATACTCTTGTGTTTTGTCAGTACATATAAACATTGACAAAACACAAATAAACAGCCATACTGGTGGAATTTGAGCCCACGACTTCTCGGCTTGTAGCACCTTGCACCACCTATTATGTAGGGTGCACCACAATCCACAATTGTGTGGATTGTGGGGTGCACCAAGTATCCTTCTATGTGTATTATAGGTAATCGTAAAACTTCAGAAGATTTCTCCCTCTGATCGTATAATCTCCGCGATGGAAATCTCTTCGTCATCGCTTTTTTAAATCTATCTAAGAAGTTTTTCCAATTCATCTTTTATTTTTGCGGCCGGCCTTTCCATTTTGTAGTTAGATTCCGTCGTATATTTTAGGGCTAATTTGCCAACAATATTATATCAATATTTGTGTATATTAAAGTATATTTATATATATGAACAAACTTTATTATCATGAAAAACGCAGTGTCAGTGTCGCACCCGTTACAATGGAAGTACTAACTAAAGCCTTATTTATAGATTGCCTTCCTTCCTTCCTCCCGTAGAAGATGAACAATACAATTCCGTACGGGAATCTATAAACGTCACCACGGTTTTCGTCTTTTACGGGAGGAAGGGACAATCTATAAATCAGGCTTAACTGTCAAACACTTTTTTCTAATTTTAACTTATAGCTAACTTGATATGTTGTTTATTAAAAACATAAATTAGTTTATTATTAGGACAGTAGTCTATGGTTGTTACTGTATTCATTGGAGCATGTAATAAATATAATTTTGAAGATGCTAAACCTTAAATCAAACGAAGACAACTTTTCGGCCTATTTAACACGATAACCACTTACAATGGTAAATAAAAACTAGTTTAGTATTAAACTTTTTAAATTGTCCGGCATTGTTTCTGTTTCCCAACAAACTTGAGTGTGATTTTGTTTTGTATTCAGGTTTATATTTGTCTTGTGAAATGTCTTATGAAATTCATTCATGACATGAATACGGAAAAACATTTTTAGACTGTTTTCTATTTGAAAACAACATTATCAGCAAGTAATTTTAGAATTTAAACGTATTATCACAAATAAAATATTTTTAAATATATATTTAAAACATATTTAGTCGATATTATCAGGGACGGCCCTAGATGTTGTGCCGTATATTTAACCTATTTTACGTAAAAACGATTGATTATTGTGTTGAACATAATTAAAAGCAAGAACATTTTTGTATGACAAAAACATGGAAAAAATACTAATAAATATAATTAGTTTTTTTTCTATAACTTAAACTTTTAAAATTGAATTTGTTTAAAAAAAAAATAGGTAAGGGTAAAACTAAAAAAAGCAATTTAAAAAAAATAGTGTGCCTAAAGCACAAATTAACCTTCAAATTGACATTTGACAGCCCTGATAGAATAACGTTTATTTTTTACAAGAGGAGTGAAATGATTGTTCTTACCACTTTGAAGTCTCTCTGTAAGAAACACAACGTTTAAAACAATTATTAATCTGTACAAACACCAAGCACAAGAATTGTAAACAACAAAAATGGCCGCCATTAAATGATGTGCAGTGATTTTTAGTATTTTTAGTACGAGATCGAAGAGACCTTGTTGTGTGGATTGCCTATAGGATAAAAGATGCAAAATTTATTAAAATTATAATTTAAAGATACTATGGCCATTACAAATTAATAAAACTTTAGGATTTTACGTTAATTTTGCTAAAGAATTTGTTTCGAACCTTGCTCCCCCGAGTAGGGACGCGCCTGGATATTATTACATCGGACTAAAAATGGATGTACTATGTACGTCCATATACAGGGTGTCCGGGAAAAGGAGGTCAATCCGTTAACCATATATTCCTTGAGTTAAAACAATAAGACTTCCATAATACCATTTTTCAATTTAGAGCTTCATGTTCGATATACAGGGCGACAAAGTTTGAAATTTAAAACTGATTTTTTTTAATAATTCGAGAAATTGATAAGATATTAAGTTTAAATTCGGTACACTACTTCAACATAAATAGATACATTTTTTGAGACCAACAAAACAAAAAACAATTGTTAAATAATCAAAATAGGGGGGTCCAGTACTCACTGATTCCCCCTATTTTTTAGTACGTGCGCCAATGACTTCCAAACGGTATTTTTTCAGGTAATCATTTATTGTTAAAAAAAAATTGTCTCCTATAAAATTTTGATAAAATGATTTGTTTTAGAGATAATTTGTAAAGTATGGGTCAGTCCATATCAAATCAACCAAAGGTTCTTCCCCCACCATCTCCGATTTTGATCATTTTTGGTAAATTTGTTTACCTCACTAAAAAACTCAAAAATCCCAAATATGAATTTTTTTCGATAGGTGGTTTTTGTTTTATTGATTTTTGAAAATCAAAAAATTCCGATAAATTTGGGTCTTGCAAGTACTTACAAAAATAGCGATATCTCGTAAACTATTAAAAGTAGAAAGGTAAGTGATGGCTTATTTTAAAGGCCTATTAGAGAACTTTTTTATGATATATTACATGACCTACATTTTTTCAAAAAAAAATTAAATTTGAAAATTTGATATGGACTGACCCATACTTTACAAATTATCTCTAAAACAAATCATTTTATCAAAATTTTATAAGAGACGAAACATTTTCAACAATAAATGATTACATGAAAAAATTCTGTTTGGAAGTCATTGGCGCACGTACTAAAAAATAGGGGGAGTCAGTGAGTACTGGACCCCCCTATTTTGATTATTTGACAATTGTTTTTTGTTTTGTTGGTCTCAAAAAATGTAACTATTTATGTTGAAGTAGTGTACCGAATTTAAACTTAGTATCAAGAATCAATTACTCGAATTATTAAAAAAAAATCAGTTTTTAATTTCAAACTTTGTCGCCCTGTATATCAAACATGAAGGCCTAAATTGAAAAATGGTATTATGAAAGTCTTATTGTTTTAACTCAAGGAATATATGATTAACGGATTGACCTCCTTTTCCCGGACACCCTGTATTTACATCCTTTGTACGATTTTAATGGACGTCCATATATATATATATAGTGTCCATTTTACGTCCATAATTATTATTACAGAAATGCAAGTTAAAACGTATTGTTGGCTGCATAACAACAGTTATGATCAATCTCACTGACATTCAAGCAAGCGCGTGCTATAAAGGACTTAAGCTATCAATGAAATGTTAAACACTTGTAGTATTGCAAATGTAATGTTCCTGAGTCGAATAATAGTACATTCTGTAACAAGTTTGGAATACAGCATATTCCGCTCGAGGAAAAATTTGACACACGAGCCGAAGGCGAGTGACGGTTTTACGAGAGTGGAATATGCTATTCCAAACGTGTTTCAGACATTATTTTCTCTACGACTACGTAAGAATAGTAACGCTTATATAATTTTAAACAGAGAAAAGAAACCAAGCAGTTTTTGACATTTAAGTTTTTTGTATTGTCAAACCATTTTGTGCTGTCACAATTTTATAATGTAAATTATAATAAATTTAAACAAATGGTATGCCTAAATCTTTATTATAATTAAAAATAGTTATTTACACTAACTAATAAAAAAATAACATTGTAACAAATACAAAACTAATTTTACAAGTAATCTATGTCAACATCTATTCTTTTTCTACATTTTAAAGGTCTTTTTTTTACCTTTTTGAATCTGTCAAAACTTCAAAGCCGGTATAGTCGGTAACTGGTTTATCATTTTAATATCAAATTTATTATATATAATTTTGATTTGTATATTTGAAAAACAATAAATATAACTAATTTTTTGTGCCTAAACCTTAATTATACAACTGCTATTATTTTTAAATTAATAAATAATACAGTAATATTTAAATATTTTTAATTTTTTTTACGTTTAGTAAACAGCCAGGAGATGTCGTTACTTGTGACCATTCTTAAACAAGAGTAGGAATATTCTCGCACAGTATTGCAGAAAAACATTCTTTTTCTACGCTTATTACGGAATTTGACAGTTCTTATATGACTTTTTAATCTGGAATTACGTATATTCCATAAAGTGTTACAGAATAATTATTCTATGATCAAAAATTACACTAGAATGTTACTATTCTTAAGTAGTCGTAGAGAAAAGGATTTCCTGCAATGTTCAACATTGAATGTTGTAACTTTTAACAACTTTTAGAATATTTATATTCCTAGTGGGATTGTTACTGAGCCACCCAAAAGGCATTTCAGTCATGTTGTAGAAAATTTTCTGCAACATCGCAATGAAAATACAGTCGCAAAAAACAGTTAAAGTAAGCAAAAAAGCAGGTCCTGGATGCTGGAGGAATGATTCAAACACCTTATGGACGACTTATGGATGTCCAAAGTTGTGACATCTGGACTCTAAACGGATGTCCATGGGACGTCCATAGAAAAAAAATGGACATCCTATGTACATACAGACGTCCACGAGAATACGTCCATAGTATACCTTTGTGCTATCTGGGATATGACCAAACCTCACAAATATATTGTGATGTTGGGTTTTATTAAAAAAGCCGTCGTGAAAATTTACCAATATGACGAGAAAATATATTATATAAAATAATGTCCCTAATTTCAGAAATTTGTATACAAAGTTTGTATTACAAACTATTTGTCACATGTATTAAAAGCCTTATAATTCATTTAATACCTATTCATAATTTCTCTGATTTCAGATGTGTCATTCCTGAAGTCGATCTCAACCCAGACGGTTCAATTATTTTTAACGCAACATTCGCCACAACAGAATTTATTCCACGGCTGGAAAGCGGCAAAATCAACTCGTGCTTGGGTTGGAACGTAACCACAAACTCCACCTATACATGCCAAAAGTGGATTTACGACGACACCTACTACCAAACGTCCAGAGCCATCGACTGGGACTTTGTTTGCGACAGAAAATGGATGGGGTCCGTTGCTCAGTCGATATACATGGTGGGTGTATTAACAGGAGCCGTAGTGATGGGAACTTTGGCGGATAAATACGGAAGGAAGCCGGTGTTTTGTATATCTGGAATCCTGCAGTTGATTCTCGGTTTACTCGACGCCTTTACGCCAGAGTATTATTCCTTTGTCATAGTCAGGTACATCTATGGTATTTTTGGATCAGCCGGAGCTTACATCCCTGGTTTCGTACTGACAATGGAGTTGGTAGGTCCAAGTAAAAGATCCATGTGCGGTATTGCTTTCCAAGCCGCCTTTGCTTTTGGTATAATGCTTGTAGCCGGTTGGGGTTCATTCATAAAAGACTACCAAATGTTGCAAATCATATATGGTTTACACTCGCTTGTATTCTTCGCGCATATTTGGTTGATGGACGAATCTCCAAGGTGGCTTTGGAGTAATGGAAAGGTCAAGGAGGCTGTTAATATTGTGCAAAAAGCTTTGAAAATAAATGGACACAAAGGTGAGTTGGATGTAGCTGAATATGTGTCCAAAGGAAACGCGGAAAGTAGAACGAGGGAAACCGAAAAGAAAGGCATGTCAGATCTGTTCAAAACTCCAAACTTAAGAATCAAAACAATAAATGTTTGCCTATGTTGGTTTGCCAATTCTTTGGTGTACTACGGCCTATCCTTCAGCACAAGCAGTATGAAAGGCAATCCTTACCTGAACATGTTCCTAATGGGGGCCGTAGAGTTACCTAGTTACGTTATCACTGTGTATTTAATGGACCGTCTTGGAAGAAGAATTTTGACTGCTTTCTGCATGCTTGTCGGTGGTGTTTGTTGTATATCCGCTGCCAACATGGCCACAGGCAGCACCGAAGCAATTTCTGTGGTGATGATCGGTAAATTTTTGATCGCAGCCTCGTTTGCTATCATCTACAACTACTCGGCCGAATTATTCCCTACTGTAGTAAGAAACTCGGCTATGGGTTTGGGTTCCATGGCTGCTAGGTGCTCTGGATCTCTAGCGCCTCTACTATTGCTTTGCGATTTTCTGGACCCGCGTCTACCTTCCGTTGTTTTCGCTATCATAGCAATCGTCTCAGGAACATGGGTGCTATTTTTACCGGAAACCTTAAACAAGCCTATGCCTTCGTCAATCGAAGATGGCGAAAACTTTGGTGTTGGCGATACCTTCTTTACTTCACTTTCACGAAGAAAACGTAACGCCAGTTTGGAGACGCCGCCTGCTAAAGCGTTTGCCTCCGAACAAATGGAGCCGCTCAGGTGAAAAAACAAAATAACGAGCATGCAGATGTGATAAAAAAATCTAAAAGTACAAGCACGTTGTACAGATATACAGATTATGCAAATTTTTTAATTCTTTATAAATAGCACTTAAAATTATTTTTACTAATGCAAAATAGTTGGACAAATACAATGTTTATAATCACTGTTGTACAGGGATAATTGTATAGGTAACAATAATAAAAGTAAACAGTTTTATAGAATCTAACCGCCTTTTATTATACTTACTGTTTGCTTTTTTAGGAATACCTACCTTGGTCCCTACCCCCCTGTGGATTAAGGTAAAAACTCTTCGGTACATGCTCTAGGGGGTAAAATTCGAAAAGTAGGTGGCGCTTAAGTAGATATCAAATAAAGTGTTTTATCGCTTTTTTAACCTAAACAATTTTTTTTAACGCAAACAGTCGTTTTTTCGACTGATTGACTATTAATTACTGCTCACAATCATCATGATTTTTAGAAAATATTATTAAAAAATGTCTGCTGCTTCTATTTTTTATTTATTATTTACAAACAAAAACATTGAGCACAATATAAACTGTAAACAATTAAAATATTTTATTTACATTTGAGAATTAAAAATACAAGAAAATAAAATTTTTGTTTAAATTAACCTAGAAGGTAATAAATATTCGGTGTGTAGATTACATTGTATTTATCTATTAAATTATTCCTTTCAGCATTATTTTTGTATAAATAAAATAGAGAAAACAAGGTTTTATTTATAGTTTTTTAAATATACGGTTCATAAAACAGTTTTTAAAAGTTTTCCAAGAAAAAAATATTTTTATAGATAAACCATAAAAGATAGTTATCACATTGTTAAATTTATTATTGTGAAATTAAAGACTAACAATATATATTTTAAATATAATAAAATTTAATATCACAATTTAATAGGTATTGGCAAAATAAAATAACCAGCTAAATTTATAAATCCAAATAAATAATTGACAAAACAAGCACAAAAAATAGAAAAACAACTATAACATTAATTTTTAAGTAAAATGGGAACAACAGGAACTTATTTTTTGATAATAATTAAAAAAACATTTAAACTGATTTGGAATCCCCTTGTTAAGTGCACATTAATTAACATTAAGATATTTTTAAAATGGTACACATTAGATATTGCACATTTAATCAATACTCATGATACACGTGCCCCAGCAATAGTTAAATGACAAGAACAATTAAGTAAGTATTCAAAATTATGAAGCACAAATTAAAAAAAACAACGTAGATTTATTTATAAACTAATTTTAAGATAGACGCTCAGATGGAATTTTCTATATTCATTTATGACCAAGGTGGCTGGTATCATTTTACTATGTGTAGATATGTACGTACATTTTGATGTCTTTTTTTGTAAATTTTCATACATACATTTTTGATTATATTGTACTTGGGGAACATGGTTAAAATTGTATCATAAACCATTCACAAATTTAAAAAATAATTGGTAGAATAAATAATTAAAAATATTAAATTAAATAAATATTAATCAACTTGGCAACAAAAATATTTACAAAATACTTCATTTAAAAAATTGCTCTGTATAAAAATTCAATCAATAGTTGTTTTAGCAAAAAAAACCTTGAATGATTCTAATACATAACAAAACTATTTTAAAACATAAGTGGTAAGTCATTAAGTTTAGAGATATGTAAAATATTATTCAAAGAATGCAAAATTTTGGACTAGTAAAATATTATAAAAAAATTGTTAAAAAATTACCGTAAATCCAAAATTTAGAAAAAAAATAGTATAGTAAACAGGGAGATCAACAATGTCATGCAGTGCAGTTTTAAATTAAATTCTTTTGGGGGGTCAAGGATGTGAAAAATGCATAAGATTGATATTGTATTTGAGGGCCTTAGAATAAAAGTTAACTTTAAATACTTTTAATATAGTTGCATTTAATAAAACAGTTGGTTAAGTTTAAGGTGTATTGATTTTATTGTAAAATTTACTAAAAAATGTTTTATTTTATTTTTTAACTTGCATGCAATGCAAATATTTCTGAATCATACCCCTTTTATTTTAAGGCCCTCAATTGTAATTCCATAAAACTTTTTGTTAAAATGATTTTAATCAAATCTTTTTGTTGTAACATTATTATTTAAATAATTAAGAGCAATCAAAGTTGTATATACTACCTTACACATTCAATGACCTGTAATTGTTTAAATAATATTGTAATAAAAAACAGTTTAAAAGAAAACCCTATTTTCAGGGGTTTCCCAAAATTATTTTGCATTATATGGTTGAATAATAAATCTCCTTATTAGCTATACTAAAAATAAAATAAATTAATGAACAACATACATACCAAATAAAAATAATTAACTTCTATCTGGACATGACGTTTGCGGGATCCTTCCCTTAACAGAGTTGGGATCCAACCCGAGGGCTGTGTGCACTATAATACTTGGTTGCCCTGGAGAAGGTGGATGCAGTTGATGCGAAGCCCCCGGAGTAAGATTCGCCAAAGCAGCCAGTAAATCGTGATTGATGATTGGTTCTCCCTCGGGACGCGGTTCCCAATCCAGTGGTGGAGATGCAGGGGGCGAGATTAGGAACTGTTTGTAGGGTGCAGGGGGCTGAAGGCTGCTGTTTTTTACCGGCGTCACCGGTTGAGCGAAGTAGCACGTAATGATGGATTCGTTAACTTTGTATTGGTGAAGTTCGATTCGGGCGCTTGCGGCCGCCAGAGGGGTGCGAAAATTGACTCGTAGACGCCGGAAGCTCCGCAACCATTGAAAAGTCACTTCCGGGTCGTATATGCGGAACAAGTTTTCGAATTCTTGTTTTTTGTCTGAAATTTAGAAAATTATTATGGCGATTTTATAATTCTTATTGTGAGGATTGTGATTCTTAAGCCGGTTTTCCACCAAACGGACAAAACAAAAACAAAACACAAACTCGTGTCGAATAAAACAAAACTGCAACTTTTTGCAAACTTTTTGAAGACTGGCGTGTTTTGCGACAGTTTGAGTTTTATTTTTCGAGTCCCGCTCGGAAGCGGTAACATCAAAAGGTTTCGACGTGTTTTGAAACTCGAGTCTGTTTAGTGGAAACGGTCGTGTTGTGTTTTTTGTTTTCGACTTTTATTTTATTTTGATAGTCTGGATACGAATTTCATACTAAATTGGTAGGTAAGTAAGAAACATATTTTTTTTCCAAGTGTATAATAATATTCATATTATATTCCTCATAAGTCTATATAGAAATACTACAATGTAGTTTTTTAAAATTTTGTAACCTCATTTTTAGATTAGGTTTAACTGTCAGACGACAAAATGTCACCATTATTGTTCGGCGGTCAATAATAATTTGACTTTTGAACTAGTACAATAATGTAGTGACTACTAGTTCAAAAGTCAAATTATTATTGACCGCCGAACAATAATGGTGACATTTTGTCGTCTGACAGTTAAACCTAACCTAAAAATAAAATTTCAAAAAAATATCGAAATTTAAAGCTTGAAAAAAAATAGTACTTATATAAAACACGGCAGTATAAACCAGCCACAACTAAGAATAAGAAAATCTTTTTCTCTAAACATGTTGGTTGATACTGAAAAAGTGTGTTCTGACATAATCACGACAACTAGTGGAAAAGGACCGAAAACAAAAACAAAACTCGAACAAAACTTAGTTTGCTAGATGGGAACAAGAGTTTCGGGTTTGTTTCAGTTTTGTTTTTGATTTGCCAGTTTTTAAAAACACAAACAAAACCCAAACTCAACTGTCCGTTTGGTGGAAAACCGGCTTTATAATGAAACAATGGAAATTGTCAAAAAATGCTATACAGGGTGTCCGAAAAATGTCGCAACCACGATTTAATAAATAACCACGTTGCAGAAGGGGTTATTTTAAGTATACAAAATTTAAAAAAAAAAATGTGGCGAAAAGTTTTAAGGTATAACGTTTAAGATTCCACCCCAGACAACATCCAATTCAGAAAGATTTCTGTACAAAGACTGGTGAAAAACATCTTACTGAGGTAACAATATGACATCTTAGAGAAATCATTTTTAGGAAGTCAATTTTTTAACATCTTAAAGTACCTATCTTTTTTTCTGACCTCTTATAGGAATCAAAATTAGAAGCTACTAAGGGTATCATAAATAAGACTTCAGTTATATGATATCTAACAGTATTCTCTTTTCTTAGTTCTTACTGAAATCATATTATTAACTCTTTAAGGGCCAGTATATTCACCTCCCTTTAAATTTACTAGATGGATAACTGTCATAGTTGCCATTGTTGACACAATTGACCATATGCAAGGAATGCGGTCGATGTTGCCAATGGTAAAAAAATAAAATTCCCTATTGGAAACATTCAATTATATTACGTTGGCTACATTGAAAATTTGAATTTCCCGCACAAACTAAATTAATTTCCATCTTTTTTTTTAATAATAATAAATAATAATAATTCCCACATTTGAAATTCGCACCTTCATTTATTATACAACACTGGAACTACCTTCTTTATCTCTGGAAACTACTATAATGTATGTCAGTTTGTGCGGGAAATTCAAAATTTCAGTGTAGCCAACGTAATATAATTGAATGTTCCCAATAGGGAATTATATTTTTTTACCATTGGCAACATCGACCGCATTCCTTGCATATGGTCAATTGTAACTATGACAATTAAGTAGAGATGGGAATCGGAAAGTTTCCATTTTAAGGAAACTTTCCGTTTTGGAAAGTTTCCAATTGGGAATTTATTTTTATTTTGAAAGTTTCTTTTAAGCTACCGGAAACATTCCTTGGAAACTTTCCTTGTTTTTTTCATTTAAATGTCAATTGTTTAGCCGCTGATTTTCGTTAAGACCATGATACAAGGCCAAGAAACTTTGAATAAGAATTTAATGTGTGTTAATTTAAAGCAGAAGAAGAAGTATAAATAATGTAAGTTATGTTACATAACCTCAATGAATCCAGATTCAGCATCATCACAAAAAACTTTTTTAAAAAAAGGTAAACAAAATAAAAACAATAAACAAAGTTAAAATCATTCTTACATTTTTGTTGTTTATTTATAGGCATAGCACAATGCCAAGAGAAAAATCTAGTGTTTGGAATTATTTTTTACTTTACTTTTTACTTTTCAATATTCCTATATATTAGTTACTTTGTCCCTTTTAATTTTTTTACGTAATATCTAGGATTTACTAGCAGTGAATTTCTAATAGTAAACATTTTATTTTTATTTTGTAGGTTTCAGTATACAATAGGAATAGGTATTCCAAAGTAAAAGATACTATTGCAGTTACATTCTTATAAACATTTTTTTTATTTTTTTTTCTTAATAAAATTTGACAAAAAGTTAATGTGTAATATATTTTTGCAAATCCCTGGCATAAAAAAAATATTTTCGCAATAAATTTTTTTTTTTTAAACTTTCGGAAAATTTCGGGAATTTTCGATGGAAAGTTTCCGGGAATTTTCGTCAAATGGGAATTTTCCCATCTCTACAATTAAGCATTGGGTAAATTTATTGAAAGGTGAATATACTGGCCCTAAGACATCAAAATGAAGACGTCACATTTATGACATTTTAATGCGATTACTTCATGCCCTGTGCACTCGCCTTAAACAAACAAAATCCACATTTTTGTCTAGTCGACTTTGGTTTTAGTTTACACTCGAGTTGCATGTGGCAGGAGCGGCGGTTAATCTTGACGGTTGCTTGGTAACGAAATCAACAAACTTCAGTTTGATAAATTTTGTAAAGTTTTGTAAATTCATATTGTGTTTATTTGGTTTGTTCTGTACGCTTAAAAACTTTTATAATTGCGATTTATCGTTATCTGTGTACTCTATTTTTTATATATTGCTACATTATTTGAACATTAACATGGTGTTGTGCTGTGCCGTGGGCTGCTCTAACCCTAGGTCTAGGGCTCTAACAGTCAAGTTATGATGCATACTTTTCACAATGATGACAAGGTTGTATTGTATTATTCAATTATAACTATTTTATTAAAACAAGGTACTTACACAAATGTGGTACATAATATTATTACTTTATACTGATTTGTGTTCTTTAATAAGATAAAATTCACTTGAATACATTATTATATTGTTAATTGGTTTAGTTTAGTGAATACCTTGAATAATTTAAAATATAATACATTTATTTTTGCTTTTCAAATAAACAATTTAAATAAACTATTACTATTATTATTATTATTTTTTACTATTTTGACTGTCAAAATTTGACAGGATAACCTAAATTAAAACCATAACCTAAAACCAATAAATGTCAGGCGGGTACACTAGCGGCATAGCGGGCCGAGTGTGCGTAACAAGGAGCGTCAAATATGTGACAGTGGCGTATCTATATGATTTATTATCTATGGATTACTTTCCTCTCACCGCTGTGACTGCTTGTGTTTGATTTTAGAAGCGGCGAAGTAGAATTTAGAGCGTGCTCTATACCAAATGATCTTAGATCTAGGTACAATCCACACCCTGGGACAATCCAGGCTTTGTTATCTATGATCCACACAACAAGGTCTGTTCTATGTTGTACTAAAAATACTAAAAATCACTGCAACACTGCACAGAGTTTAACAGCGGCCATTTTTGTTTACAATTCTTGTGCTCTGGGTTTCTCACAGAGGCAATTGTAAGCCTTAAAAGAGGCCTTAAAGTGCTAAGAACAACCATTTTACTCCTCTTTTGTAAAAAATAAATCTTATTCTTTCAGGGCTGTCATCAAACTGTCAAATTTAAATTTTTTGGTTATGGTAAATTATCCTTAAAATTGAAATTTGACAGTTTGATGAAAGTCCTGATAGAATAATGTGGCTTGTTTTTGTAATAATCAGAAAACCCAAGTCATTATGAGGACCCTAGAAGCCAAGGTATATACTGTCTGTCCACTCTAAGTTGGCGGAACTAAGGAATTTTGTAGTTTAGATATTAAAGAATTGTCGTACTGTGTGCTTTTAAAACAGATTTTATATTATAAATAATACTAGTACATATTATATACCTATACCTTTGCCGGAAATCGAGATAAACCATTTTTTACCCTTAAAACCTCCCCCTCCCACTTCCCGAAGTCAGATCGCCCGTAATTTATTTTTCCTTTCATTTTTATTATATTCTTTTCCAATGGGTTTCATCCTACTGTTATTTTTTTTGGTTTCAAAAATTATTGACCCTGGTCTATGTGTGCATTTCAACAATTAAGCGCTTTTCCACGATTAAGTGCGTTCAGAGACAATTCTAGTACGTTTATGTTTATATGGTTTAATAGGGAAGTTTAATATTATTTAAAGTATAAATAATAACGCATTTATCAAAAATACCCAGTTTTGGGTAGGTAAATAAAATTTGGGTATTTACCCAGGTATTTACCCAAATTTTATTTACAGGGCTCCCACGGTTAAATTACAAATTTTATTTAGGAATTTAGGAGGTTTTTTGGAGAATTTTAGGAGAATTTTAGGAGAAAAAATTATGCAAATGAATTTATTTAATTAAATAAAAACAACTTTACACTATACTTAAAAAATAAGAAAAAAATTCTTTTTAACAAAAATATAAATAAATATCACTACAAATAGGTTATATTGACTAGTTTTTTAGCCAAATCGCTCGACGAGCTTTTTTTATAATAAAATGAAAAGTGAGGTAAAATTACTACTTTTGTATATGTGTACAAGTAAAAATTTCACCCCACTTTTAATTTTATTTAAAAAAAAGCGTCGATAGATATGGCTTAAAAAGTAGGCCAAAGTTTAATGATGTTATATTTATATTTTGAAGAAAAAAAATTAACAATTTAGTTAATAACTAACAATAATCGTAATGTTTTTGTTACTAAAAAATCTCATAATGGAAAAAATATAAAGTGCATGATTACAGCAAAACATTCTTTAGATTGTTTACTATTTTAGCTATCATTTAAAAGAAAATTAAAAATCCTTTTGTTTGATATATAACACGGTATATTTTTGTTAAAAATTTACAAAATATGGCTAAAAATGACAATTTTGTAGAAGTCTAGAAGCTACTACGTGGATTTTGTTTTATGGTATATTTTGTTGTTTTTTAAGAAAAATGTAGGTTGTGATACCTATATCATTTTAAAAAGAATTTAATAAACTAGAACCCAAAAATATATAAGAAAAAATTGAACCTACACCTAGCCAAAGTTTTTTGTTTTGAATGCGTTCCACCAACTTCAAATACCGACAGACAGCTGTTTCGACCTTTATTGGGTCTCATCAGTGTCGGGCAACTTGGTGTAGTGGAACACAATCAAAACAAATTACTCCCTGAGCTTATATGCTCGGTTGTTAAGTCAACAGAGGCGAGATGTAAGAACATCTGGTGATCCACACCGTCAAACGACGTGGCCTTTGCCGCAATCAATTTTTTCTTATGAATATTACCAGTGATGGGTCAAGAAAGTTTCTTAAAGAAACTAAGAAAATTGAATGTTTATCAAAAATATATATTTTTTAAATTACTTTTTAAAAAATAAATTTTTTAGCACAACTACAGTTGTATTCATTAAAAAAGCGTACAAGAATTAGAATGAGAGAAAACTGTCAACATTATTGCGTAAAACCGGCTTTCCACTGACTTAAGTCACTATAACTGACAGTAGAAAATAAAAATGCCTCGTCAGTTAAAAAGGCTCAAATAGTATCAAGAATCGAAGAAGATAGGTCAATTCGTACTGTGGTATAATAGAAATAAAAAATCTATATTAAAAATTAAGCAACGCTGGGAACAGGAAGATTTACTAAACCAAAAAGTTGGTTCAGGTCGTCCCAAAATGTCCACCCCTGAACAGGATGCTGCTTTTTTGAGATATCTGAGGATTTATGGGAAACTATACAACTATACTATACCTACTATACTGCTGGGAAGATATTAATCCAAATATTGTATTAAATTTAATTCAGTTCATCCCAAATAGATTGGCTCAAGTAATAGAAAAACAGGGATGCATGACTAAATATTAAATTTTTTTTAATGTTTGTTTTTTTCATTATTAAAAGGTAATAATTTTTGTAATATTATTTTATTAACCTACGACGTCAATGCTCTTTATAACCTATAATAATTATTTTAATGACTTATGTCAGTGATAAGCCGGTTTTAAGCAATAATATTATTTTGACAGTTTTCTCTCATTCTAATTCTTGTACGCTTTTTTATTGAATACAACTGTACCTTAATTAAACCGAGTCAGGTTGGCCTACTTATATTTAATTTTTAGGAGTTTTAGGAGATTGATGGCAATTTTAGGAGAATTTTAGGAGTTTTTAAGATTTAAGCCAAATTTTAGGAATTTTATGAATTTTAGGAGGTGTGGGAGCCCTGTATTTACCTACCCACTGGGTATTTACCCTATCTACATCACTAACCATGAATGAACTGAAAATGTATCGGTCTCATGGACATGTCTTGTTTAAGGTCGGTATTTTTTATGCTTACATCACTACATCTCAGCTCACTTTAACTATGTTCTGTGCTTTAACTGAAATGAGTTTAGATCTCAGTCAAAAAGAACACACAGTTGGACATCTAAAGAACATAAAAATACTAATTTAGTCAGTTTTAATTTTTACTATACCTTGAGATTCAAAAACAGCATCATGTATATTTGTAACAATTAAAGACGTTGGTAAATCTTCAAATTCGTCGTCAGTGTGATGTTCTGGACTGTCCACTTCTGTTTCATTGCACAAATTAGGATGTACATTGGGCAGGCCATCCTGATCATTAATAATAATATCCTCTTCATTCATGTCTTCATTACTTTCTGCCATGATTTATTTTTAACTTAAATAACTTGTACACTGTAACAGAGATAAATTCTAAACTTTATAAATCCATAATATTTAACTATTTAGTGATCTACCGCTACAAATGCCAAACGTCTATCGTTATATAGATTTTAAAAACATTTGATTTATCCTTTTCTCGCCAATGCTTGTAGCGTATGTTTATTTCTGTCGGAAAAGCGTAATAACTAAGAACCTACACAGACGTCAAAACTATATTGTTTGACGTCATAAGTTAAGTATCATAACCAACATAACAAAAATTAATCTTTTGTTATTTTTCATGATAATTACAACTAAATTTCGAATTTAAATGAAACTATTATTTGTTTGCTTATTGATATATAGCAAATTATTAATTTAAAATGAGTAAAGGGTGGTTTCAACAAAATTTAATTAAATTTTCTCGTTTAAGTTTGCAACACTACCGATACATTTTGAGGTTAGGTTAAATGTCATCGTTTAAAAGGATTGCGGGTATATAAACAAAAATATCGAGATTTAAACAACTTTTAAGCGACCCGTGAACAGTATATTTAACTTGAATAATGGCATTTCAGTTTGGAAATCCGGGGCAGTCAGCATTTGGGGCCACCCAAGCAAAAGGTACGTTTTTTCACTAATAATTTAAATATGAAAATGCAAGTCTATTATAATAATTGTGTATTATATTTTTTGTGGCTAATAATTGGAAAGTTTAAAACGTTCTGAGCTTATTTTTGTTGCCATATTATTGCATCATAAACTACTACTTTTGTGTAGACTACTAGCTCATTTTCAAATAATAATAATAATGTTTAAAGTGTAATGCAATTACAGTATTTTCTGGTTTTATTGACCATAGAAAATCATAGCAAATAAACTAACTTTTCAAAATTTTACATCCTAGTAATAATAATTTTGTGTTCCTATATGCAAAAAGCATGTTTTAGATTTTTAAATCATATTTATAAATATATACCTGTACTTGACCGTAATAAAAACAATTCCATAATTCTAGCTTTGCAAAAAAATATTATTGGACTGTATATTTAAGTCTAATTTCTAGACCCTGCTCAAAATACCCCATAGAGACCTATATAAAATAATCTATCGGACGCTACCAGATTCAATATGTGCATTTGTCCATGTTTTTTTCCGGATACGGCCTGATAGAAAATATATAGGAAATTACCTATAGGCACACCATAACCTCGACCATAACTTTTACATTTTCCCTATTGAGACCAATAGCAAATAACTCAATGAAGGATATATAGGGATATCCCTATAAAACAACCATAAAACATTTGACAAAATTTTATTAAAACCCATGGGTTCCTATGGCTAAAAACTAATTTTTACATTTATGTGTATTTTCCCCATTGAAACCAATAGAAAATAAATCAAGGGTGGATATCCCTATAGAACAACCATAAATCCCAACTAAGGGTCCTAAACATACCGATACACTATAGAAACACCATACATTCCGATACAAATATCTATCATATATCATATATCATCTTATGCTATAACTGGGTAACTCAAAATTTAAAAATCCAATTCTATATGATTTACTTCAAATTTTCTGATCAATACCACAGCTAAATAACTCTAGCTCCCTTTACTACAACGTAAATGTGTCTTTACAACAATTATATATTTGTTTCGTCCACGCAAATTTGTACTAATTTTAACACACAAATTTTAAAATATGTCAATTCAATTATGTGTTTTTCAAGTTACCTAGTTGTAGTATACTACAACTACAACTTTATATATTAAGGTAACAATATTTAAACTTGATTTTAATCAGTTTTCAAAATATAAATTGTTAACTTTAATTTACAATGTAAGTCTTATATGGGTGATTCTACAAAAGTTGGACAACTTGATGTCATCAGTCAATAGAGTAGGTATTTTAATATTTTTTGTAAATATTTTATTATATTACAAAAGTTTTTTTTAACTTGTCCACCCAATTTTTCAAAAGCACGTTTGTAGAAAAACATAATAAATATTCAAAACATCAGTACCTTGGCGTGTCACAACTCCTGAATCAAATATTTGAGTGGTTTTATTTTAAAATATATTCAATTTATCTTAAATTTTTCAATTTCACTACAAACTATAAGACATTAAATAATCTATTTTTCATATTTTATCATAGATTCGAATAATAGCAATTTTTAAAAAATTGATAATCTTTTTACTCAATTTTACCCGTCAGTTTTGTGTCCTATGTTAAAATTCAAAATTCCTGCGAAATATTGAAGTTTAAACGTCAAGTCCTCGTTTTAACTCAAGTGTTGGTAAAAAATTACCTACAGGGCCCGCCCTTTGCATGACAGTAATCTTGAAAACAATGCAAGCGGCGAAGTTGTGGTGAATGCACGTATAGTTCCAGTCAAAATTTCAGTACTTTGGGGAGTAGTTATTTTCTTACGTATATATATTTAATTGTAATTTATATAAGGCTATATGTGATTTGTTGATAAGTAGCATCCACTAATAAAAAATATCAGTAAAATACTTAATTTCGAATTATAATCTCAAATTTGTCCCATTCATCAGTACCGTGTCGTCAGTTCCATGTTCGATGTTTCGGTTATCTTCTTGCGCAGAACTTGTTTATTTAATGTTATTATAAACTCATATAAATTTGGTGTGGGTCCCATATCTAATCATTATGGATGGTAGAACCTGGACTCATAATGTGCGGCCGGTGAAATCCTGATAATATAGACCGAACCACCCTGTATTTTCTAATAATAAAAAATCAGGATACACCTATATAATATAATATATAGGTGTATCCTGATTTTTTTTAGCGCCAAATATAAAAAAAGTTAATATAAACATTGGTTTAAAAAATTTTTTTAAGGGAGCCAGGCCCCTTTGAAGATGGCAATCAACTTCATATCGTAAAACCAAAAATTTTCAAAGCGATTTTTGTTAAAAACGGTTGGTTTAAACTATAAAACATTAAAACATGACCCCCATTTTATGGTTTTCCCAGATAATGTCAATATCGGGTCAACAGAAAAAAAAATATTATTCTTATTTGAAGTACACCTAAGATAAAAATAAAAGATAAAATAAAGTGAAATCTTGAGTGCCATCTTTAAATGGACGTAGCTCCCTTAAAACATTTTGACCCCATGTTCTTAGGAACGTTTTTTCATATCTTGCGCCCCTTACAATTTTTGTGTACATAGTTTTAAATTTAAAACTTTGATTGTAATCGAATTTTTTATTACGATTTCTTTTAAAAACTTTTTGGCTACAATTATTCGTATAGGTACCCATGACTCATTTAAAACATGCAGTGCTATCGTAGTGTATATTAAATACACTTGCTGTTAAAATATGTAAGTCGATTTTTTGCCGTCAATTATAGTTGTTTCAGTCAAAAACGTTTTGAAAATAAAAAATGGCAATGAGGTAATTAATAATTTATTTTTTAACAAACAGTAAGTAAATATATGTTAGTTTGCATGCTTAAACATTTAAATCTACTCAATAGATAAATAAATAATAGTATCAACATACGTGTATAAAGTAGTAAAACAATAGACATATGAATAAGAATACACGATAAAAAATTAGAAATGGTTTTCCTATAAAAAATGGCAAAAACGAATTATATCTTGGAGCCAAAATCATCAGACTGACTGCTACTTTTCATTGTGGATGTGCTGACTTCTTTTAACTGCGTTACATCGTAGGCTCTGCATTTATTTTTTCGGTGTTTGTGAAATTTGCAAGCAGCAACGCAACCGATAATAACTATTATGAGCATTGCAATAAATACACCCAGAACAATCCAGACAGTTTTCGATTGAAATTCTTCAGGTTGATTATAAAAGATTTCTGTAGTTGTCTCTGAAAATAAGGGAAATTTACTAAATACATCATTGGGTTGGGTAGTATAATCTGCGGTAGCTTCGCTGATGTGGTACGTAGCCTCCGTCGCAGCTGATGTTACAATTTCCGTTGCAGCTTGACTGGTGTTGATCATTTCGGTGACTGATTCCGTTGCGTTCATTATTACATTGTTACTTAATGATGATATACTTATTGTTGGAAATGTTGTTTCTTGACTAACGATGGCGTTTGTAGGAACTTCGGTGATGCTTCGTAAAGTGCTAGCTTGTGCATCATTGGATGTTTCGATCACGCTTTTAATTGTGGTTGCTGCAGTTTCAATAATGGAATCAAATGTTGTGGCCTCGCTTAAGGTGACACCTGTGGTTGTTACTGGTATTGCTGAGGCATCTGTTGAAACTTCAATTATGTTTTTAATCGTGGTTGCTGTTGTTTCTGAAAGACTTGGTTCCGTTACTGGCATTGTTGTGGTTTCAGTTACGTATTCATAGACAGTTTTTAAAGTTGTTGAAAAGCTTTCAGAGGGAATTGTTGTTTCCAGGACTTTTTCAGTCGTAGTTTCTAGAGCTGCGCCTACTTCTTTAGTTAAGCCATCCATAACTTCACTGACGCTGGGTAGAGTTGTTGTTGAGATTGCAGTGGTTGTGCCAGTTGGGGTTGTGCTTATGACGGTTGTTTCTGACATTTCTGTTGGTGTTATGGATGTGAAATCTTTTATTATTTTCGTTACTCCTTTGACAACTTCATCTACAGGAGTTCTGTGTTTTTTTGGAAAAACAAAATGAAGAGTCTAAAAAAAAGAAAATCATTAATTTTTTGTTTTCAATAAAAAAAAATTTAAAAGTTTGGAAATCATTCAAACCTATTTTTTTATTTAAATACCAAGTAGGGGGTTTTTAATTTAACGAAAGAGATCTAAAAATCTAAATACAATACAATCTACAGAGTGTCCCGAAAATAGTGTACCTACTAGTAATAGTACTCTACACGTGGTTTCTAAAGACTAAAATAGGAAGAAATCTTCTTGTAAACATAGGACCCTAAGGGAGCTAGAGCCTCCTAAAGGGCCGCCCCTGAAGATGTATTTTTATTTTAATTTCTGAAACGGTTTGAGATAAAATAATGAAATTTTATATTCTTTCTTAACTTTTTATGCTGAATTTAAAAATTTAAATTTTGTATTTATGAGTGTATTAAACAGGGGCGGCCTAGGATATTTTTAGCCCCAAATTTTTGGTGGGCATTTTTTTGCAAGTTGGGTGGGAAATATAAAAATTTTGAGTTTTCTACTTAAAAGTAAAGAGTACCTTCTTGTTGAACATCAATAAAATACACCATTTTTGTATAATAATAAAATAACAGATTTAAAAAATATTTGTTTTACTTTTTTCATTTAATATACATTATTTTATCTCAAACAGTTTTAAAAATAATAATATTAAAACATCGGGCGCCACTTTAAAAGGCCATAAGAAAAAAATATGTACAGGGTGTTTTTAATGGAATGCCCTATATATTCCTTTACATTTCGATAGATTGTTTCATAGATTGTTTCAAGGTAAATTTAATAGTATATTGCATTACAAGAGATGAAACACAGTGATGTCCAAGCAAAGCAAGGGATGCACTCACACGAGTTGCGATCGCTGTGTTGCATTCTGAGTAAAGCAAATTATTTTTAATAGCAACTTTATAAAAAACTCTCAGTTTCATCCTGCCCTACGTGTATACATGTATAGGTCCGAATTTTCAATAGAGGCGCTATGAAAAAATATATAACACTTAAGTATATATTTACTTTATAAATAACAATTATATGAGACATAAGAAGCGTAAAAACACTAAGTCATTAGTAGATATAGAGAAGAATTAATCAATAAGCAAGCCATGATTTGCCGCTTCGGTATACGCATTTTTATCAGATTGATAGAAAAAAAATTACACCTGTCTTCCAAAGAATAACGCATTTTTTAAATTTTTAAAGGAAATTTGTTATTGCTTATTGTTTAATGCTTTTCTAGTGCTTAATGTTTTTGCGCCTTTTATGTCTCATATAATTGTTATTTGTGAAATAAATATGTGCTATATATTTTTAAATTCACATTAAGACAACCCAACCGAACTGTATTTTTAAGATTAAGAAAATCTAATCTCATATTCTAAAAATTCATAAAATATTAGTCCAGAAAAGTTTTTGACTGACAAAAATATACTGAGAATAACGAAAATAATGAGGGGGTTAAGTATAAGCGGGACACCCTGTATCTAGTAATATGGGCAATAATATAATATAATAAAATATAATATAATATAATATAAGGTATGATATTTATACTCAATCATTTTAACTGGACTGTGCAATTTTGACAAATGTGATAGAATTTGCTGTTTTGATATTAGACCCCTGAATTATTAAGTTATGCCAATTTTTTTTAATCCTTTATATCCTAAAGATACAATATTTATTTTTTCGGCTTTAAAATTCTCAAACAGTTTAGAAGCTAGAGCATGACTAAATCTGTTTTGGGCGATATTTGGGAGAAATTTCTTATATTTTATATGTATTTAAATATTTTTGATGACTAAAAAAATGCTTAGTCTACTCATGGACAAAATTATCGAATATTTTAAGATTTTTATAATTTATTTAATCTTAAAAATATAGGTAAAAATCATAAAATTTTAATATTTTAACCTAAAATGTGTAAAATAAACTTTTTTACTAGTACAAAGTGTTTAAATGATGACAATATTCGATAATTGTGTCCATGAGTGTATAATATACACTGTCTATAATGTATATAGTTTTTAAAGTAGGTAGGTACTATTAAAAAAGAAAATATCGATCTAAACATGGAAAATTGTATGAGAAGGTAACTTTTAATCTATGTATCTATGACTAATCTACTAACTATGATATTAAGGGCCAGTATATTCACCTTTCACTAAATTTTTTACATACTTTGCAATGTTTTAATTGTTCATTTTATTTTAAATAATCTAATATTAATCCATTCAATAACTTACGCACAATAAGTTTATGTTTGTCAAATATGCTTTTAAAAAATATGTGTACCCCTATAAAGTCTAAATTAATTTATAAAGTAAACAAAATTAATGTGTTGCTTTACCTCGTCATGCATTTTAATTAACAAATTTGGATACTAAACACACCAACCACGAAAAAACTGCACATGTATTTTTTGCGCACCGTTCAATTTCTTTCACCAAAGTAACTGAGTTTAAATTGTTCTTGGGTTCTTATTTATAAAGAAATATATTACTTGAATTTAGGGATTTTATTTTTCACAATAATTAACCACACTTCATGAGTAACGAATTACTTTGTAACTTAAAAACAATTTTATCTTTTCTTGCAACGATTTAAGGAAACGAATGAGATACGATAGCGTCAACACATCACAGGGTTGTTATCACTACAAATGTGGGTGGTTATTTTGAAAAGTATGGTTGTAAAACGGAAATAAAATTTACTGTACTGTACACAAAGTCTTACCATTTCGAAAGGTACTTCCTTATTTTATGACACTGACTAATTTGTTTATGACTTGTTGATTTTTGTTACTGCCTTTTATACCTTATCCCTGAAGCTTATGAAAGGGATTTCCATTTTCAGATTAACTTAAAAGTTTGACTTTGTAATACCGTAGTTTATTTACTTTTGGAAAAATGGTTGGAATGGGTTTTATAATGCTTAGGATTATATTATGATGAAAAATATGCAATCTATGTACAATGTACATTGTACATACATAGATGTGTTAAATAAAAAATTTAAAAAAACCTATTTAAAATATCGTTTGTCGGTAATTTTGGTGTTAAATTTATTAAGTTTATAGCAAATACATACATATATATGGGGCATTCCATGCCAAATCGACCACTTTTGAACCCGACCCCTTTCGATCTGGCCAAAAGTTTTCCATTCTTTTCTACCCTTTGAAAACATTTTTCAAATTTTTTTCAAATTTTTTTATCCAACCCAAAAAAGTTTTAAATTTTTCAAAAAAATAGGTTTTTTATTTTCAAATATATTTGCAAAAATTACGATTTTATTAAAAAAAGCGATGATTTCATAGAGTTGATCATGTTAAATTTTTTTTACTCTATTTTTTCGAAAAATTCATTTAAAAACAAAAATAAAAAAAAAAAGATACCAAAAGGTCAATTTTTTATTGAAAAAGTTATGGATATATCCATAACTTTTTCAATAAAAAATTGACCTTTTGGTATCTTTTTTTTTTTATTTTTGTTTTTAAATGAATTTTTCGAAAAAATAGAGTAAAAAAAATTTAACATGATCAACTCTATGAAATCATCGCTTTTTTTAATAAAATCGTAATTTTTGCAAATTTTGCCATTTTTTATTTTTTATATTTTTTTATATACATACATAATATAATATATACATATATTATATAATATAATATATTATGTGAATCTTGTGATATAAACTTTAATACGCTTTAATAGCCATATAATTAAATATGTTAATTAGCATCTTTAAATGTTGCACACATAATCTGTTGTTTAGGTTTATCTATGTATATATTTTTTTATAATTTGAATACTATATAGTACGCATGTATCCTATTTAAATGTCCTGTAATGGTTTAAACTGTTGGGCAATAAATAAATTATTATTATATATAACTGTAAATTGGGGATACACCAAAAAAATATGTTTTTTTGATTTTTACCTTAAAACATGGCTATGCACAAAATTGTTAGACATAAATAATATGGAATTTTTATTGGCTTAAAGTTAACTATTTATAAAGTTAATTTTCCTTCAAATTTATATTTTATCCATAACACGATTTTCGTTCCATAACATTTTTTGACAGATTTTAAAAATAGAGGTTAAAAAAACGTCCGTATCCCACCGTTTTACGAAATCACGTCATTTAAATTTTTGTATACAGCTATTCTAATTATTTTAACATTTACAGATATTTTGTTATGAATCATTTTTTCTTCTTCAAATATTGTGTTTTTACAAAATAAAAAATTAAAATTTTTAAATATAACAAAAATAATTTATATTTTAAATGTTTATTTTTTTTAAATAAAACAACAGATTTGTGTTTATCTTATATTCAATAGATGTTGGAAAAAAATCTTGGTCTTTTAGTTTGACGATTATACATTGCTTTAGAATCTATAGTGGTAACACAGACTAAAAAACACCACTTGATATATTTCGTAAAGGTAAATGTGCAACACCCTGTATAAAATTTAAATAACTCTAAAATGTAGCTTTAAAGGTTGTCCATTTATTTAGTAAATATAATTTTTTACAAACCATACAGTCTAGCTGTTATCGAAGCTGTTATTTTATGTGCCGAAAATCGTGGATAACATTTTATTGGATCGCACTAAAAATGACGTGATTTGAAAAAACGCCGAGACACGGGTAGCATTTTTTTAAAATCTACAAAAAATGTCATGTTAGGAATTTTTTCGTACTGTGTAATTAGACTGCTTGAATTGTAAAAAATAACTTTTTTAATACATATTAAATTCTTACGACATGACTAAATCAAAGGGTGCCTTATTTACATAAAACCAATAAAATTTAAATGACTAAAATTTAATCAACTTGATTATCTTTTTTAAATTAGTAATTTAGTTAGGTAGTTATTTATGTGGTTGACATACATAGGTATGTATGCATGTACTAGGGTGTTTTGAAGAAACATTAATTTTTTTGCTCCCCTAGTAAAATATTGATGTAGATATCGAGAAAACAATGCTATTGAAATAACATTGAATATTAAGATTTTTTTTCAAATTTCTATAACTTAATATATAACTATAATTTTACGATACTACAATTTACATAAATTTTATTGCAAAGTACCTTTTTTATAGGAAATTGAAGTTCCTATAAAAATATTATTAACTTTTTACCTGTAACTTTAACCGTTTTTCCGTAAATGAAAAAATACTGTTTTTTTATTAAAAATATGACTTCGATGATGTATACAGGTCTAAATTGTAGTAAAATTGTTGTAAGTACTTAAAAAGAGCATTCAATCATGCATAATTGTACATGTAGGTACATACAAACAAATCGCACCTAAGATTTTGAAAAATTTAAGAAATTTGGAAATGTGTCCCATCATTTATTGCAACAAAATAAATTTTTAATTTCACACTTATGTTTGTTTAACATTGATCTCTTTAAATTAATATTTTAAATTAATTAAAAATAATTATTAATTAATAAGATAATTATAATTATCAGTAAAGATAATACGAATAATTTATTCTTGGCAAAAAACTACATTTTAATTGAGTTTAATTCTTAGTAATTATTATTATTCATCAGGAACAAAATTGGTAATTCAATTCCTATGTTTTTAACAAAAAAATACCTTTTGATTAGTCATTCTTTTGAAGTGATTAAAAGGGAATTTAAGATTATTTGGATAAATTTGCATGCATATCTACTTACATACATATATGTTGATTAAAAAATACCTACAACCGTTTAAAAAATGATTATGTTTTGAAAAAAATATAAAACTTTTTATATTCATAAAAAATCATTTGAAAATTATTACTTAACTCATTTTATCTACTCCTACATTGTCGAGCTGTGACTTTATGGCGTTTTCATCACGTGCTGAAGTTACCAATAGGGCATTTTCGTCTCGAGCTAAAGTTAGCTTTATTATATATGTATATTACTCGTTTATAGGTTTATTATAAGTGGGAAAAAGTGAGGTTAAATCCATCTACAGTTAACAGGCTGAAGTTAGCAACAGTGGCTTTAGGGCTTAAGTTGCACGGGCTTAAGTTGCAAATGTCGCAATCGTCAAATAAAGCGACTAGAAAGTGCGGTTAGAACAGTCTGCCAGACGTCAGATTTTATTTATTTTAAAATTATTTAATTTTTGCGTTTGTCGTAGAAAAGGTATAGTATGCAATTCGTTTTGTAAACTTCTGTAGACACTTAAACACTTGTGACTAAAATGTTGTTTCGATTCACACAGAAAAATTTGCCTCCGGTAATACAGATTTCCATTCTTACGGTTACTCTATTTTTGTATAGATGTCGTTTTTTACAAATATTTAACTTAAATTATTTTTAGTATTGACAAGTATTTGTCGTAGAAAAAGGTACTCTTTTAATTAGGCTCTGCACTGCCTAAATTAAATTCGTGACTAAAATGGCGTTTATCAAACTTGATACATAATATACTATTATTTATTTAAAACGGTTAATTTCCAATTTGGTTTTTATTGGTTTTAATTGATTCAGATTATCGCGAAACTACTGTATTACGATTATAATGCAATTGTACTTATGTTATTTACAGTCAAAGTACTATTTTTGGGAAATTGATATATTTTTATAACAAGTAATTTTTAAAAATGGTTAATAGAGTCAGACAAAATCTGGTATTGGTAAAAAAATTATGTTATAGTTGCCGCGGCGAATGTTTCAAATTTCAAAATTTTGACATTCGACATTGATGACGCAATTTGAAACATTCGCCGCGACGACTGGCGCCGTTACAAAATCAATTCCTTTTAAGTTTTATCAATTTTTTACCTTTAATTTGTATTGGCGATTATATTTTTACTTAGTGGGCGTTGAATCATATTGTTTAATATTTATCAACCCATAAACTATTTGCAGCACTTGTTAATGTACGTGTGATTAAACATATTTATATGTTGTTTTTTAATTTTATTTACGAGTTTGCATTTACGATTAAAAATAGTATATTGTGCTACTAGTGGGAGAAAGAGAAACGTGGAGTTTTCCTTTTTCGACCAATACCAATACCAATAGTCACATACAATATTTGTTTCAACTACCGCAAGGAATTTAAAGTCAATTTTATTTGATATTTTATCTGACATTAACTTTTAACGCGGAAACGGACCTACGTGATTTTTTGCATAGAAATAGTTTATAGGCTACTTTTTATTATTTATTTGTTTTTTATAACTATAATCAACTCCAATTAGTAAATAAATTAGTAACTACTAAACCGATCTGAATAAAATTTGGTTTTTGTATTGGTTTAACCCCTTATTTTTTCCCCTTAGAACCACGGGAAGGAAGCCGCGGGTATTCATCTATGTAATAAATGTTAAAGTTTTGATATTTTTGTCAAAAACTCTGCATTTATAATATTTAAACTTATTACTCACGTGACGTTGCTAAGACTAAATTGCTTCATAACTCAAAAACTTTTTTATATTGACTTTTTCTAAATACCAGGTGTTCTATTTTTCTTTTTACCAAAACATTCAATTTTAAACTGTGCCAAAAAGTTTTGTGTTTGATAACTTTTTATAACGGTATTCAATTTATGTGAAACTACGATTTACAATTTAAATGCAATTTTATATTTTCAATATCTTTAAAAACAAATCCTAGTTTCAGAAATACAAAAATAATTGTAATTAATAATATACATAGATATTTTACAAAATAAATGAAAACTTTTATTTAAAAAAGTCTTATTTATATAA